TAAGTGATGAAGGGGTACCATTGACTTGAGTAAGAGTTATTCTCGGTGATGATGCACCAAAAGTCCATAAATAGACAGAATCTGTATTTTCAGAACTAACGTAGACTTCATTAGATGAATAAAGGGACAGTAAAATTCCATAAAGTTTAGGAGTAGACGCGGACCCAATGACAATGGTGCCGGTTGTGGCATTTGGAGCCCATTTCATAACTCGTTTATTGTTTTGGTCAACAATATAAAGATTTAAGTCATCATCAATATCTACGCCTAAAGGATAATTGAGACAATCGAGTGCTGATGAGCTGACACCATTTTTCCCGGCAACAGTAGTACCATTGCTGAAATCTGGCGGATAGCGTACTACTCGATCGTTATTATGACTGGATAAATAGAGATATCCATTCTTGTCAAAATTAAAAGCTATCGGATGATCACCATCCACACTAGTATCGATCACTGTAACACCACTGACCGCTCCTTGGGTCCACTTTTGCAAACGATAATTGTGATGATCGCACACATACACTGTGCCATTTGCATCGACATAGAGTGACGTAGGTTCCTGAAATTGGTTAGCAGCAGTCCCACTTGTACCGACACCAGCGACTATGCTGCCCGTCTGATTCCAACGAAGACTCGAACCTAAAATACATACAACATACGTGCGATCATTGCAATAAAACATTATTCACATGTATCATAGGCTGTTGTAGTTGTCGTTGATGTTGTTACTAGAAAATCAAACAGCAGAACATGATTGTGTAATTAAACTAATTATCTAGTCTTATGAACTCGGATGTTTTTGCTCTGCAAACCCCTAAGTCGACAGTATCGCTAAATTTACTTAATAGAAATGGTCAAATAATCTAATGTAATTGTATTTGATGAAGTTGCTAACTGTGATCAGTTAATAATTTCGCCGAAATATACGACTTCAACATACCTGTTGTCGTAGTGCTCGTTGATTTCGATGTAGACGATGTCGTGGAAGTCGTTGTTGTGCTTGTTGATGTCAATGTAGATGATGTCGTGAAAGTCACTGTTGTACTCGTAGATGCCGATGTAGTTGATATATTTGTGATCGATTTTACTGATGTGGCTCCTTAGTGAAAATTGATTTGTAAACAAATAATGTCTTCTTAGGATGTGAGTGTAAGTGGATGCTAGCATGATGTGAGTAGGTGTTTATGAACATATTGACAACCTTACTTCAGTAGTTTTCATGCTGAATTACCAAAACTATCTCAAAAATTTGAAGTCGTTGAAGTTCTATCCTTCTTATCAGGACTTTGACCATAATGCATGCATCCTGTGCCTTGAACGGTGTCCTATTCTATCATTCTTTCATCTTCGTCGTGTTTTCTCTCACCTACCCTTTTCAATGTGCTTGATGTGATCTCTATGTCGAATATATGTATTATGCATATCTCTCTTTTGCCTGCTTTTTGTTCGAATGTGATTCATTCGTGTGTTGATGACTAATGATAAAATTGTGAATGAAAGACATTACGGATCTTAGCGTGATGCTTTAGTCGAGAAAGCAGCACACAGCCGTCCGCCTGAAAATGCATCCTATTCCGCGATGTTGAACATTGCGGAATCAGGTCCACCCCGGAACCAATTCCGTCCAATTCCGGATGCTCGACTATGATTCCACAGAACAGGCCCAATCGATATCGATCGAGTTCCGTCAATTTCCGGAATTCCGGGAATTGTGTTGAAACGGAATTCCTTCTGATTCCGGAATTCCTTCTGATTCCGGAATTCCTTCTGATTCCGGAATTCCTTCTGATTCCGGAATTCCAACTAATTCTGTCTCGACTCAATTTCTGGAATTCCACACCGGAATTGAGCTGAGACGGAATTAGAAAGAGTTCCCTGGAATTTCTTCTGATTCCAGAATTCTTGGAACCTGTTCCAATTGTGTATAATTCCGGAATTGGAAGGAATTTCTGGGGATTGCTAGTAATTTCGTCTGAACTCAGTCGCGGGTATTCCGGGAATTGGTGGAACTCGATCGATGCGGAATAAGTCTCTTATGCTGAATGATGATCGAGTTCCCGGAATTAGATGAAACTGATTCAGGTGGCGGAATAGGAGGACTGCTCAGTGTGAGTCATGCGAATACGCTCTCACACATATTTCTAATTTGATATCAACCTAATCGAAGTTGCGACTGTTCGATTCGAACCTGAAAATGAGGCCAGAGTGAAACTATGTTGGAATCTTCCTGAATAAAAATTTTCTTATACGAAAGGATTCGAAACTTTGTAACTTGAATCAAAACGAACAAATGGTAAATAGTGACCCAGAAAGAGTTCTTTACGAAATCTTATATTATCTTTCCAAACATTTCACGCATTCCCAGCATTGACTTAGCAATGTTTCTGTTAGCCTATTCTAGGCTAAAGAGGAATCTCAACAATAGTATGTTATAGCAGTAGGTCTTTTGAAATGAGATAGATGAGTAACATTTTGATGATTCTATTGGAACTTCTTCTGCCTTCATACTATTAATCTTGATGCTCTGATTCACGGATAGGATGGCCATACTTGCGGTGTTTTAGCACATTTTTCTGATCATCTTTTGCCTTTCTGATTTTGAAGATTCTGATTACTTTTTGGGGCTTCACAAGGTAGTATTTTTCTTCACAATAATGCTAGGTCATTCAACACTCCAAATTTTTTCAAAAACTTCTGACTTATACTGCACTTTTTAAAGCTTTCTCGTACCTATATTTTCTATTTTTGAAGTTCATATTTGATAATTCATATTTCTTAAGCTTTTACCTTTTCTTTTAACAATACAGTGAGAGTAGAATTATGGCTGCCTTGACCAGCTACAAGTGTGAGGAGTGACTCCTTCGGTCTGAAAAATTTTCGTTTTTTCCGAGTAAATTCGATAACGGTGCATGCATTCTAGACGAGATTTTTGACGATTTCTCTAAGAAGACTGTCAATATCTTCCAATCTTAGCCGCTTCGAGGCAGCCTTGTTTAGAATAATATTAGTTGTAAAGAATTCGGAAGAACGTGTATGGATACTTAGAGAATGTTTATGAGATATGACAGCGCTGTACAGTTTCCTGCAAAATAATATTTAACACCATATAAAACCATATAGAGTCTTTTATGATGTCGTATACGACTGTTTGTGACTTTCGTAATTGTCGTCCAGAGAATATTTCATGCTCACAAAGTATTAGCGATTTTCTTATTTATAATGTACTAGTAAAAAGATGGTCACAGAAAAGAAAAAAATTTTGTAATTCACCAAGTTACGAAAGTCATTTGCATACCTAACAAAGGTTTCTGCTTTTTGTTTGTTTTTGGAGAAAAAATATCTGATGATTTTCTGATTATTCAAATTTATGATGTGGCGGCACCATTCATGGAGAATGAAACACACTAGATCAATTGATCTCTCATACACACATTCTCTTTTTTCAGAAGTACCACCATAAGAAAAATAGTTGCAGTAGAAATGAACGCATGAGGCAATGTGGTAGAGCAGCTCACTACAAAAGGATATCAGTATATAATATTTAATTAAAAACTACCTGTGGATGTGGTTGTTATGCTTTCTGACATTGGTATCAACCATAATGTGATTACAACAGCCAGAGCAATCCCACCAAGCAATACTCCGACGATACAACATTTACAGCATGGTGACCAAAGATAAGCTGACTTTATTTTGTTCCTTTGAATTGCATAAATAGATAGATAAACACATTTTGAGAATGACATTATTAGACAACAAGATTTAACGCTGACTTTACCTCTTGTTGCTATCATCGTCTTCCCAACACTTTGTTTTGGTCGAGGAATTTATTTTAGATGAATTTGATTCCACATCAAGTGACCAAACAGATAATTCAGGAAACTTCATGTTTATTAATGATGATTATGATCTATTTAGTAGGCCATCTGAATATTGTCTGTCACGAATAGAAAAGCTTGATTTTTATTATAACATGATTCAACAATAGAGGCAACGCAATAAAATGAAAATCTTCTGGCTTCTTTTATTTTATAACTAGATGCAATTCTGATTTTTTTTTAAATTAAAACTGGTCTTCAACAGAAGAAAGAAATCAAACAAAACAATTGTTTGTCCGAAAAATAATAATAGCATTTTTTAGTTTGCTTGTTTTTGCTTTCTCCAGCATCGTATACCTCTACGTAGAAGAGAGATTGAAATATATTTACATAATAAATATCGCCCAATCGTCATTCTCTTGTACAATCAAACATGTTTTAATTTTTCAGTTGAGAGAAATCAGAACTATGCTATTGACATAGAGAAATCCCACGTTTCGTTGTGACGCCCAAAGAAACTCATCTTTTCAATCAGTTGGAAACCTGTTGGGCGACAGATTTTTTCTTTCGTTAACAATTCAAGATTTATTCTTCTCTTTCATCAAAACACAGTTTTAGTTGAAACATCAACTCACAACTCATAATCTCTAGGTAGTCAATAGTGAAAGTATGTTCGATGAAAGCTTGGATTCGTACGACATAGTTTCATCTTCACTTATAGAAAAATTGAGCCTAATCAAATGAAATCTTCTGTAGAGAAATCATTTGAAAATACTTCAAACGACTATTTTCATTCTTTGAAATTTAAGTAAAAAGCAGAATAATGTAGACTTGGAACATATTCAACATGGGGCTCATACATGTTGGCAATCACAGCAGTAATTATGTTACAGATAAATTGAATGTAATTTCAGTCAAGAAAAATGGATAAATATTTTTTTGAGCCCGCAATTAGACAGATTTGAGCCCGATGAAATTCGTCCGGGCTCAAAAAAATGTTATGTGTCTGTTGAGCCCGGCTATCCGTTGTTTTGAGCCCGGCCATAAGATATTGTGTAGATGGCACGTGCATGATAAATTTCATCAATACGATAGATTATCATGATGCGTAACTTGTGTACATTCAGTATTTTTTGAATTTCTTACACGTTTGTTATTGTATTTCTTAAACATTTCACTATGCCCAACCGAACGTGGAATATTGTCGACAAATTTTTCAGTGAAAATGAATTTCAATCCTTTATCGTACAAAATGCTGTATCTATAAAACGTACAGAAGAAATTGAAGCTGGAAAGAAGGTCATATATCGATGTTCAAAGTACAGAAAATATCCTGAGTGCGATTTTCAAGTCAAAGTTATTTTTTCTTATGATGGTGGAATAACAGTTTCAACATCCAATGAACATAATCATGCTCATCGTACATCAACAACACGAGCACCATCACCAGTTAGAGAAATTGTTATAAATTCTGTTGCAGCTGGTCTTTCTTACATTCAAACACATCGAGCTATTGAACATCAATATGAAGGTGTTGTTTCACGTTCACAATTATGTAGTTTATTAAATTACCATCGATCACTAAAATTACCCGATGTAAATTTTGTCGATGATTTTTTTCTGTTATATAAAATTATGTTATTTTTTTTGAACTAAATAAACTATAGCAGGTTCAGAACAATGGATAATCGGGCTCATTTCATATTTCGAAGTCAAAAGACACAAAACATTTTTTTTTTGAGCCCGAACTAATTTCATCGGGCTCAAATGTTTCTAATTGCGGGCTCAGAAAAATTCTTGTCCAAGAAAAATTCAATCGAGACAAAGTATTGCCAGTTAGACAACAGAAGATAAAATAAAGATGAGTGAACCAATTGAGAATGAACTGTGATATTCAATGAGAAAATGAATTTCATTACTGATGGAATAAATGCCGAATAAAAATCTATATGAATTGGAGGAATGTGGTTGTAGATGTACGTTTCTCTGTGCCAGTGTAGACGAGAAATATCACACTCCCATTCACATCTGACAAAGATAGAGTAGTATTTCTTATCTTCGAATTTGTGTTGAAATGTGATGAGATCACAGAAGGAACTACATTATGACTGTTTCAGAAAGAACCTTTGCTCAAGGAGTAGCAATATTAAGGGCAACTAAGAACTATACATATGTTTATACATGCATCAAGTCTATAATTGATTATAATAAACTTCGATCTAGAGAAAAGCCTTAAAAATCTATTTGAACTTTTTCAATAATAATTTGTTTTGCAATCGAAGTTCGCAGCAAATCAATCGAATTCTATCGAAAACATTCAAATTCTCCATATATGACTACGATGTGGTAAAAATCATCTAATTTCCACTTTCCAAAGATTACAAGTATTCGAACATTTATCCTTGTACATTTTTGTGATTGATTTATGCCAACATCAGGGCAATAGTTTTTGCATTTAGGCATATTTTCAATGAAATTTTAAAAATATATTACAATCCATCTGAAATTTGAACAGAGATGCCTTTAACATTTTGCATGATCATCATAGAAGAGATAAGTAAACAAACTTTTATTAAGAGTTTGAAATAATTAATGTCTTTGATGCATAGTAAGAACTTGAATTTGAATTAACAATGATTGCAAACATGTGAATTGTGCACAGAAAGAAGAACATTTAGAAGCAGCGAAGAACTTTTTTTTTATGTGACTGATAGCGAACTGTAGAATTTTATTTTATCTTGTTGTTTATGAGGGTGTTGACAAGAAAGTCTTGAAGAAGAAGTCTTCATTCTTGTTGACTAGAAAGATAGAGATCTTTTTATCTCGCCAAGGTATAGGACGTACAAGTTGCAAAAGATAACGGCATTCATTCAAACTATATTCCTTTACTTGTTATTTGATCAACATTTTCCTGCATTCGATATTGATTAATTTTTAAACTACTTAGTTGTTTAACACTCATGGCTGATAGACCAGTTGATACATCGGCTGATCAATTAGATTCCAAGAGTGCAATTATACGAACATCAACGCCGAAGCCCGAGAAATTTGATATTGATGACTCTACTGTAGTAACAGTAAAGAGTCGCAAGTTCGTATAACGAAACTAAAAAAAACCTGTTGTCATAGATTATTCTTCATATAGAAAACTAAATCCTCTAGTCATAGCTGTTATTGCTTTACTTGTGATCGCGGTTATAGCTACCGCCGTGGCTGTCCCAATCGTTCTCTTAACTCGTCCGACAACAACATCCACAACTGTTTCCGAGTCCACTAATTCGTCTACCATACCATCAACGACAGATGTCACTTCGACAATTGCAGAAACAACAATAAACGACGCTACAACAGTCACTACTACTCTAGCAGAGCTGACGGGTGAGCTTTGAGCACAAAAGAATCTTTTTTATCTATCTCTTTTTTGGCAACAGTCACTCACGCATAGAAGGTATAGGTGAACGGAAGATTCACACCTACACCCAAGCTCTTTTCAATAATTGATCTGATATTCTGAAGATTATTAAAATTTGAACTACTTTTATGTAGAAACTTTAATCGTATATAGCTTCATTTCTCAGTAAGTTGCTAAATCTTCAGCACCACTAAACAAAATTCTATTTTTCTAAAATTCCGTAACGTCTGATATTTTTTGAATAGCTTAGTTCAAGTTAAAAAAGAAAACTGGTGAAATTTTTACTCATAATAATTAGATCCTAAATGATCTTTACCTATAATAAAAGTTTCACGAAATTTGCTTTTCCCATTGATGAGAAGTAAATGATACAATGTAAAACACAATGAGATTTAGTAATGCTTGTTCACACCGTGATGTCAACTATCAATATTAAGCTTTGCAAAGTATACAAATCATTGTAAATGAATTCTTTTTAAAATCTATCTGTTGATTTGAGTTAATTTGAGGAGTATTCTCACATCAATGTTTTATAGTCAGCACTGTGACATCAACACCAACCAATAGATGCATAATTGAAGGAATGTTGTCCTGTATTGCACACATTTTCTTAGTAGCTAAGTTTTCTAGTTTTTATGATGATTCCTATGTAACTGCTTGTTCTCTGTAGGCAAGAAGCGACCAAAAATCTTAGAAAAAAATTGGGAAACGTTCTAACTAGAGATGCTGTATGCAAGTTCCATCGATTTTGTGTGTTTTGCGGTACTATTTTGAAGCATGAAATCATCAACATGTGTTCATACAATTGAATACACTTCGTTATCAAAGAAATATCATAAGTAATAGTATTCAAGAATTCTGCCAAAGAAATTCCTCATTTGCTGAATAATTGTTACAGATACTACGATGATTTATTGGAAAATCGAAGATAAACCATAAACTATTTCACAGTTCCATTATCTCATATAATTCGAGTAATACATTTCTAAAGCACTTTGTGAAATGATGAATTCATTTCTACAGAGGATTTCGCTCATCAAGATATGAGTATGACATATTTCTTGGATAATGTGCTATTTTGAATTTAGGAATAGAGGAACTATAATGAAATCGAGAAGAACTTCTAATTTTTCGGTACACTCTATATTGCTTGATTATAGTTGCCTGAGTTTGTACACAATGGAAAAAAACGATTAATCCATATGAGCGATAGAATAATTGACTCAAAGTGAAAATTTTTATCAACCATCTCTATAAACAGTACGTGAAAGACAATACAAAACTAGCACGGCTTTCCCTGCCATAGAATGACTCATTTTGTGCACAAAATTGAAATTCACTTTTATTCGATAGAGTGTTCAAAATTTTTGTACTTAAACTAACAAATAATATTCATGTGACGCTATAATAAAACACTTCATTTAACTGCAGAGGACTTCGAGTGTTCAATGGTACTTTATTTTTCAGTATGAATATATTTAAATGGTTCCTCTAGGATGGCGTAACACTGGTAATATGAATACTGCACGATATCATCATACCGCATCCGTATTAAGAAATGGAAAAGTGTTAGTTACTGGTGGAGATAATGTTAGTTCTTCTTTTAGTAGTACTGAGTTATATGATCCATCAACAGAAAATTGGACAATGACTGATACTATGAATGATGCACGACGAGACCACACAGCATCCGTATTAGAAGATGGACAAGTATTAGTTGCTGGTGGAAAGAATGATTCTTTTGAATTAGATAGTGCTGAATTATATAATTCATCAACAGGAACTTGGAAAGCGACTGGTACTATGAATGATGCACGATATTGGCATGCAGCATCCGTATTAAGAAATGGTCAAGTGTTAGTTACTGGTGGATATAATGGTAATTCTTCGCTCGATAGTGCTGAGTTGTATGATCCGTCAACAGAAACTTGGACAATAACTGGTAGTATGAATTATGCTCGATATTATCACACAGCATCCGTATTAAAAAATGGTCTAGTGTTAGTTACTGGTGGCACTAATGGTACTTTTACTCTAAATAGTGTTGAATTGTATGATCCCGCCACGGGAAATTGGACAGACACAGGTAACATGAATATTGCACGACATTGGCACACAACATCTGTATTAAACAATGGAAAAGTGTTAGTTGCTGGTGGATATAATGGTAGTTCTTATTTAAATAGTGCTGAATTGTATAATGCATCAACCGAAACCTGGACACTAACTGGTACAATGAATAGTGCACGATATAATCGAAAAGCATCCTTATTAAACAATGGAAAAGTTTTAGTCACTGGTGGAGTGAGTATGGAGAATATCGCAAATAGTGCTGAGTTGTATGATCCATCATCAGGAAGTTGGACACCAACTGAAAATATGAAGGGTGCACGATTTTGGCATACTGAATCCATATTAACAAATGGAAAAGTGTTAGTTACTGGTGGATATTTCCTTAATGCTTTGAATAGTTCAGAATTATATTATTTATCTCCAACAAATGAATAATGAGTAATTTTATGTTTACAAGTATATGCAATTTAGCATTCCAAGACTAGTATGATGAAGACAACTATTGGAAGTATATGACAATGAATAGTTTCCTCCGATGATTTTTTTGCGCTTGTGATTCATTTGAGAGTTCATTTGAAAATAGAAATATATTTTTGAAATTTCTATGTTGATGTATTAAGCTTATTTTGATGAAGAAGTTTCAGTTCATATGATAATTGTGCACTTCTCAAAGTATTGCATTGTATTTCCAATTCATCTTTCGTTCAAAAATTCGATCTCTTTTTTATATCAACAATTAATATCCTATCAATACTTTGAGCTACATTGGTAGATTGAACTTTGGCTTTGTATATGTAAATTTTGAAACGTTCTCCTTACCTATTCAAGAAAAATTACGGTTTCTTGTCCTTAATTTTGTCTAATAGCATGTTATGTTGTTCAATTCGAATAAGTAAATTTTCATTCAGTTCTATTATATACCGGAATTAGTGTTGCTAAAATAGAGAAGAGAAAATCATCTGATAGATATTTGAGATATGATATGTGCAGAAATACAGAAGTTTTCTCTTCATCTCACTCATGTTCTATAGATATACAAGATACAACACAAAATATAAGTCATTTGATCGTTGAAAGTGAGAAAAATAAAATAATGCTATTTGCTTGCAAGCGATTTTTCTTGTCCTATTGGTAGTATTCTATTTTTTTAGAATTTAATAGTAAGTTACATCAAAATTCATCGACAGATTTCAAATTTCATCTAAAAATATGCATCTATTCAAGAGTTACAACTGTTTGGATGTTCGCTAAAATTTTAGCAGCATGTAGCAAAAATTCAAAAAGTTATAACTCTTGAATGGATGTATATGTTTGGATGAAATTTTAAATCTGTCAATGAATTTTGATGCAGCTTACTATTGAGTTCTAAAACATAGAATACCATTAACAGCAAAAAAAAACTCTTGGAGGAGCTCAGGAAAATGCTAATTTTTTTCACAAACTCTCATTGCAAAAATCTTTCGATAAAAACTCATCTTTTGAGTCCAATGCCATACCTTTACAAATTTCATCTGGATCCCATGCCCTGAAGATGAAATGCAGCATACTGAAAAATCCTGGATTTGCCACTATCTTCAAAACCAAAAAAAAAGTCAAATATCGTAGATTTATCATATATAAACTGGAAACAAAATCTTGTTGAACTTCATGATTATGATGCTCTCTTGCAAGATATTGTTTACATGGAAATATGGGTGTAGGTATGGACATAGTGCGTATGGGCATGGAAGTGTGCATGTGGATAGCTAGATGTGGGTGTGAGTGTGCATGAACAGGAGATCGACATCTACACCCACACCTTTTGCCGTCAGAGTTACACTGATTGTATGCATGACAGTGCATCACCTCTATGCGGCATAAGTCTTTTATTCTTTTCTTTCATTAAGTTCATTATTTTTCTACAGTGCGATGAAAAATTCTGGATAGTAGTGTGAAGCTAATATTCATATCCAAAGATTGCTGATTCTCGTGTATTAATTTAAAAAACTATTTTAGTTCACAAATGTATGAATTAGTGTTAGTTCATACAAATATCAACTCTAATGTGGCACCTCTGATTATCTGAGAAACAGCTTCTGATGTATGGTCTACTCTTGATACGGTGAAACTATTGCTAGTCGAACTCGAATCGAATCGCATACGAACCGATTTTTCACAGACGACCCAAACCGAACTCGGACCATTGTTTGAAAAGTGAAGTCAAACCAAACCGAACTCGAACCAATTTTTTAAGAGTAAATCAGAACCGAACCGAACTTGATCAAGAAAAAACCGGCTCGATTCGGTCTCTGGTATGGGCGTGAGTATGAGTGGGTGGATGGCGACATGGGTGTGAACATGAGGTCGTGCCTGTCGCTGTGAATGTAAGTGGGGGACGGTGGGTGTGTGAGTCAGGACTTGAATTCGCATCTTCTTTTCACTCACATTCACTTATTTGTTTGACAAAATTATAATATGTAAAGCCTTCTTGTCAACATTCTTCCTCCCCTCTCCCCTCATGTCTGCCCAACAGTCATGCAGTGGGGAGCCAGGTGGGCATATGCGAAAATATTCTTTTCCAGAATGTAACCGTTTACGTAGATACCTACATATGTGATCTATTATTTTCCTCAAATAACAGTTCTCAAATTTTTACAGAGCTCTAGAAAAGAGCCTGACAAGACTTGGGCTCAGAAATCGGCATAAATAAAGTCAAGCCGCTTGGCAATATAATACAATATTCCACAAACAAACACTATCGTAAAAAACTTGCTCACCTATGAAATTTATATTAAAAAGAAATTATCGTAATCCAATTAAAAATAGAGTAGAAAACTAAGGATCTTAAGCCTCAAAACCTATCTGAAAACGTATCGTTCCGTATATTGTAAACGCTACGAAGGAGTAATGTCCGATCGAGCGCGCATTTTTACTACATGCTCCTACATATGTATCCTACTTATGGCGTATGCAAAATCTCATAAAACGTTTCCTAGGCTATTTTACAGGGTGCCCAAAAACTCGAGGTCTCTGAGAAGAAATCCAGCTTTAAACAGTCGCGTTATACTTTGAAGAAAAACCAAGGTGATATTGGGAATCAGCTTGTCAAGCTGCATCGAACAATATATATTTAATAGTTTTTCAAAAAACTTTCGACTCACTTTTCCCAATTAGCTGGGTTCGAAACCATACCGTTTTGTATATTCTAAACGCTACAAAAGAATAACGTCCGTTCGAGCTCAAACTTTTATCAAATGCTCCTAGATATATAAACGACTTATGGTAGATGGAAAAAAACTCATGAAACCTTTCCTAGGCTATTTTGCAGAATGTCCAAAAACCCAAGGTTTCTAGTCTGATATTCGGTTTTAGGCATACATGTTACACTTTGAAGAAAAACGAAGGTGATATTTGGAATCAGCGCATTGAACTACATCGTATGACATGTAGCTCAACATATTTTTAAAAAATGTTTTTGAGAAAAAAGGACGAGGTCCCCCAGCCACATTTTTTTCTTGAAAAACCCTTTTATCTTCTTAGAAACGATTTTCTGAGTGGTATACTGTCATCTCTAGTCGAATGAAAGACAATTACGAGAAAAAATCGCATGTTCGCCAGTTTATGCTAACGCTCCACTGTGATATGCGGGGTAAGCATGGTAGCAAAACATATAAGCCATCATTGACTGTAACAGACTGACCAGAAGCATAAAACGGCATGAGAGCGATATTATTTCTCTCCTTTTTTATATTCTTTTTTTTCCAAAGGTCCTTTTAGTAATTTCAATACTTTCGTTGGGTTTATGAATAGCTTCAGTCACCAAATGCAAATTCTTTATGGGCTGTTTTTTGAGATATTATTGCTTAACCTCACGTTCAAGTGTATGATTCACGTAAGGATCAATAGCTTCATCATCTTTCACATTTCAATCCTGACGGTATTGCACTAAGATCTTTTCATGTATTCGAATGAATTCTTGTGAATTTCATAGGATTTCCTAGCCTATGAGAAAGTTTGTTTGGCAGCTGTGACCCTTGCATTGCTGTGCATGCCTAATATAAAAGTAT